TAGGCTTATTAAATAGGCTTATTAAATAGGCTTATTAAATAGGCTTATTAAATAGACTTATTAAATAGCCTCATTAAATAGGCTTATTTTAGCAACTTAGGCTTATTAAATAGGCTTATTTCAGCAACTTAGACTTATTAAATAGCCTTATTTAAGCAACTTAGGCTTATTAAATAGGCTCATTTCAGCAACTTAGGCTTATTAAATAGCCTTATTTCAGCAACTTAGACTTATTAAATTGGTTTATTCAGCAACTTAGGCTTATTAAATAGGCTTATTTCAGCAACTTAGACTTATTAAATAGGCCTATTATATAGGCTTATTAAATAGACTTATTAAATAGGCTTATTAAAAGGCTTATTAAATAGACTTAATAAATAGGCTCATTAAATACTTATTAAATAGGTTTATTAAATAGGCGTATTAAATAGGCTTATTAAATAGGCGTATTAAATAGGCGTATTAAATAGGCTTATTAAATGGACTTATTAAATAGCCTCATTAAATAGGCTTATTTTAGCAACTTAGGCTCATTAAATAGGTTTATTTCAGCAACTTAGACTTATTAAATAGCCTTATTAAATAGGCTTATTTCAGCAACTTAAGCTTATTAAATAGGCTTATTTCAGCAACTTACGCTTATTAAATAGCCTTATTAATCAGGTTTATTTCAGCAACTTGGGCGTATTAAATAGCATTTTTAAATAGGTTTATTTCAGCAACTTAGACTTATTAAATAGACCTTTTTAAATAGGCTTAGTTCAGAAACTTAGGCTTATTAAATCGGCGTATTTCAGCAACTTAGGTTTATTAAATAGCCTTATTAAATAGGCTTATTTTAGCAACTTTGACTTATTAAATCGAATTATTAAATAGACATTTCAGCAACTTAGGCTCATTAAATAGGCTTATGAAATATGCTTATTTCTGCAACTTAGACTTATTAGATAGGCCTATTAAATAGGGTTATTTCAGCAACTTAGGCTTATTAAATAGGCTTATTTCAGCAACTTAGACTTATTAAATTGCCTTATTAATCAGGTTTATTTCAGCAACTTGGGCTTATTAAATAGGCTTATTTTAGCAACTTACGCTGATTAAATAGGCTTATTTCAGCAACTTAGATTTATTAAATAGCCTTATTTCAGCAACTTAGACTTATTAAATAGGCTTATTTCAGCAACTTAGACTTATTAAATAGGCTTATTTCAGCAACTTAGACTTATTAAATAGCCTTATTTCAGCAACTTAGGCTTATTAAATAGGCTTATTTCAGCAACTTAGGCTTATTAAATAGGCTTATTTCAGCAATTTAGACTTATTAAATAGGCTTATTTCAGCAACTCAGGCTCATTAAATAGGCTTATTCAGCAACTTAGGCTTATTAAATAGGCTTATTAAATAGGCTTATTTCAGCAACTTAGGCTTATTAAATAGGCTTATTCGGCAACTTGGGCTTATTAAATAGGCTCATTAAATACTTATTAAATAGGCTTATTAAACAGGCTTATTAAATAGACTTATTAAATAGGTTCAATAAATAGGATTATTAAATAGGCTCATTAAATAGGCTTAATTAATAGGCTTATTAAATAGGCTTATTAAATAGGCTTATTAAATAGGCTCAATAAATAGGCTTATTAAATAGGCTCGTTAAATACTTATTAAATAGGCGTATTAAATAGACTTATTAAATAGACTTATTAAATAGGCTTTTTAAATAGGCTCATTAAATAGGCTTATTAAGTAGGCTTATTAAATAGACTTATTAAACAGCCTCATGAAATAGGGTTATTTTAGCAACTTAGGCTTATTAAATAGGCTTATTTCAGCAACTTAGACTTATTAAATAGGCCTATTAAATAGGCTTATTAAATAGACTGATTAAATAGGCTCATTAAATAGGCTTATTAAATAGGCTTATTAAATAGGCTTATTAAATAGGCTTATTAAATAGACTTATTAAATAGGCGTATTAAATAGGCTTAATAAATAGGCTTATTAAATAGGCTCAATAAATAGGCTTAATAAATAGGCTTAATAAATAGGCTTATTAAATAGGCTCAATAAATAGGCTTAATAAATAGGCTCATTGAATACTCTTTAAATAGGCTTATTAAATAGACTTATTAAATAGACTTATTAAATAGGCTTATTAAATAGGCTTATTAAATAGGCTTATTACATAGGCTTATTAAATAGACTTATTAAATAGCCTCATTAAATAGGCTTATTTTAGTAACTTAGGCTTATTAAATAGGCTTATTTCAGCAACTTAGACTTATTAAATAGGCCTATTATATAGGCTTATTAAATAGACTTATTAAATAGGTTTATTAAAAAGGCTTATTAAATAGACTTAATAAATAGGCTCATTAAATACTTATTAAATAGGTTTATTAAATAGGCATATTAAATAGGCTTATTAAATAGGCGTATTAAATAGGCTTATTAAATAGGCTTATTAAATGGACTTATTAAATAGCCTCATTAAATAGGCTTATTTTAGCAACTTAGGCTTATTAAATAGGTTTATTTCAGCAACTTAGACTTATTAAATAGCCTTATTAAATAGGCTTATTTCAGCAACTTAGGCTTATTAAATAGGCTTATTTCAGCAACTTATGCTTATTAAATAGCCTTATTAATCAGGTTTATTTCAGCAACTTGGGTGTATTAAATAGCATTTTTAAATAGATTTATTTCAGCAACTTAGGCTTATTAAATAGCATTTTTAAATAGGTTTATTTCAGCAACTTAGACTTATTAAATAGACCTTTTTAAATAGGCTTAGTTCAGAAACTTAGGCTTATTAAATCGGCTTATTTCAGCAACTTAGGCTCATTAAATAGCCTCATTAAATAGGCTTATTTCAGAAACTTAGGCTTATTAAATAGCCTTATTAAATAGGCTTATTTTAGCAACTTTGACTTATTAAATCGACTTATTAAATAGACATTTCAGCAACTTAGGCTCATTAAATAGGCTTATGAAATATGCTTATTTCTGCAACTTAGACTTATTAGATAGGCCTATTAAATAGGCTTATTTCAGCAACTTAGGCTTATTAAATAGGCTTATTTCAGCAACTTAGGCTTATTAAATAGGCTTATTTCAGCAACTTAGACTTATTAAATAGCCTTACTTCAGCAACTTACGCTTATTAAATAGGCTTCTTTCAGCAACTTAGGCTTATTAAATAGCCGTATTAAATAGGCTTATTTCAGCAACTTGGGCTTATTAAATAGGCTTATTTCAGCAACTTACGCTGATTAAATATGCTTATTTCAGCAACTTACGCTTATTAAATAGCCTTATTAATCAGGTTTATTTCAGCAACTTGGGCGTATTAAATAGCATTTTTAAATAGGTTTATTTCAGCAACTTAGACTTATTAAATAGACCTTTTTAAATAGGCTTAGTTCAGAAACTTAGGCTTATTAAATCGGCTTATTTCAGCAACTTAGGCTCATTAAATAGCCTCCTTAAATACGCTTATTTCAGCAACTTAGGCTTATTAAATAGCCTTATTAAATAGGCTTATTTTAGCAACTTTGACTTATTAAATCGACTCATTAAATAGACATTTCAGCAACTTAGGCTCATTAAATAGGCTTATGAAATATGCTTATTTCTGCAACTTAGACTTATTAGATATGCCTATTAAATAGGCTTATTTCAGCAACTTAGGCTTATTAAATAGGTAAAATAAAATAACACAATAATATTCTCACGACGTTTCGGCCACAACACAAGCGGCCTTCATCAGGTGAAGGGGGCGAGACTGTCTGGTAGGACAGCGCTGGAGTGAGAGAGCCACGTTCAGATCACGGCTTTTAAGCTGTGTGAGAGGAACAAAGAGCCTTGACACAGGAATTAGCATAAAATTTAGCATTGAAATGGCTGAATGATTAGCTTGTGACTGGTCACAGAAATAGCTATGTTAAAAGTTAAAGCATACACATCCGCAGAGGCACCCATTGTTAAAAGGAATTAGCATAGAATTTAGCATTGAAATAGCTAAGTTAAGGCATACACATCCGCAGAGGCACCCCTTGACAATGGGATTAGCATAGAATTTAGCATTGAAATGGCTGAGTGATTCGCTTGTAACTGCTACAGAAATAGCTACGTTGAAGTCAGAGCATACACATTCACCGAGGCACTTAGTACAAATCAAACAGGAGAATTTAGCATTGAAATAACTAGGCGAATTTAGCATTGAAATAACTGGGTGATTTGCTAGTGACTGGTCACAGAAATGACTACACATCTGAGCTATTCACAGTACTATATAGTGAACCAATGAAAACTAAAATATAAATTACCTTCATGTTATCAATAAACTCTATATTCTCCAATCAGCTAAGCTACCAACCATAAGTCGTTATATATCACAATGCTATATGGCGAAAAAATGGGTGGATTCTTACCCTCAAATTTCCGTACCACGGATAGCTATGGGCCCCGTTCAGACGGACGAGTTCGTCCATGGTCGGAACAGAGGAGGGGGAGAGAGACAGCTGCGAGGCCCTAGTATGCTCCATGTTGTAAACCATACCATTAACCGTGGTGTGAGAGGTATTAAGAGGCAATGCTGGCGAAAGAGCTGCGGTCTGAAGGACATCGTAAAATTACAATTAATTAAGAACAGAAATGATTTAACACATCTTTCCAGTGGTTACTAAGCCTGAATCCATCTTCTCGGTTGAAATTGTCTCTGTGCTTGTATATGTGAATGGCCTCATGAACGAATCTCTCATGGTAGCCGGTTGGTTTGCAAAGAACCTCCGTCTTGGAGAAGTCAATGTCATGTGAGCCCACTGAATTGTAACAGTGATCTGCCACGGCAGAGGAGTTCGTCTTACCGTGTTTCAAGTCTGCTTTATGTTCGCGGATGCGGTCCGAGATATGTCTTTTGGTTTCTCCAATGTAGCTACTACCACAGAGGCACTTTAGTTTGTAAACGCCTGGGTACTGTATGTCTGGAAGAGCATCTTTTACAATTTCCACTATCAACATTACACTTCTTGTAATTATAGCAATCTCAAGTCTATCAGTCTATGCCATCCTTGGCTCAGGATGAGCATCTAATTCCAAATATGCACTAATTGGGGCTCTTCGAGCCGTAGCACAAACTATTTCCTACGAAGTAAGCCTAGGTTTAATCCTACTATGCCTAGTTATCCTAACAGGAAGTTTTTCTCTACAAGCTTTTATTTATACCCAAGAACATACCTGATTCTTACTCTCAAGTTGGCCTTTAGCAGCAATATGATTTGTTTCTACTTTAGCAGAAACAAATCGAACTCCATTTGATTTAACTGAAGGAGAGTCAGAACTAGTTTCTGGCTTTAACGTAGAATATGCCGGAGGGCCATTCGCCTTATTTTTTCTAGCTGAATACTCTAACATTTTATTCATAAACACTCTAACAGCAATTATATTCCTTGGGCCCCTAGGATCAAACAATTTAAATATTTTACCAATTATTAATATTATAATAAAAGCCACTCCACTTATCATTTTATTCTTATGAATCCGAGCCTCCTACCCACGATTCCGATATGATCAACTTATACACCTTATATGAAAAAATTTCCTACCCCTTAATCTAGCTCTCTTTACTCTTCAACTATCCCTTGCTGTGTCATTTGGAGGCGCTGGAGTCCCCCAAATATAAAACACAACCAATTAAATTTAAGTGGAAGTATGTCCGACAATAGGAACCACTTTGATAGAGTGGCTACAGGGGATATTACCCCCTTTCTTCCTTATTAGTATGAAAGGATTCGAACCTTAATCTGAGAGACCAAAACCCTCCGTGTTTCCATTACACCACATCCTAGGTAAGATAAGCTAAATAAAGCTTTTGGGCCCATACCCCAAATATGATGCTCATAACATCTCTTACTATATGTTATCCCCCTTAATTCAGTCTACACTGCTAATAACACTAGGTCTTGGTACACTTGTAACATTCTCAAGTACAAGCTGAATTCTAGCTTGAATCGGGTTAGAAATTAACACAATTGCCATTATCCCACTGATAGCTAAAACACACCATCCACGTTCAATTGAAGCAACAACAAAATACTTCATTGCTCAAAGTGCAGGCTCTGCCACACTTCTTATTACCGCCTGTTTAACTGCTTGATACTCAGGAAACTGAGCAATCAGCCCATCAAACGACCCAATTATTCTTAATGCTATAACTCTTGCCCTAATACTAAAACTAGGTATAGCACCAATACATTTCTGACTCCCAGAAGTAATAGTAGGTCTAGATTTTATTACCGGCATAATTCTAGCAACTTGACAAAAATTAGCCCCAATCACCCTTCTTATTCAAATTGCACAAGATCAGAACAACATATTCATCCTTATCCCAGCCCTACTCTCAGTATTCGTTGGTGGTTGGGGGGGTTTAAACCAAACTCAAACACGAAAAATTTTAGCCTACTCATCAATTGCACATATAGGTTGAATTACTAGTATAGCCCCATTTAACCCAACAATCACCTGATTAACAACATTAATCTACTGCTTAATTACAAGTGCAACATTTATTAATCTTCACATTTTAAAAGCTAATAAAATTACAGCACTAACCATAAATAAGCATAACCAAGTCTCTCAAATACTTCTATTACTTCTTCTACTTTCTCTAGGGGGCCTTCCTCCACTTACAGGATTTATTAATAAACTTCTAACATCAATTGAGCTTGCCAATCAGAATCTTATTATTTATCTTTTTATAATAATGATAGGCTCATTACTAAGCTTATTTTTTTATACTCGAATATGTTATTTATCAATTATTTTATCACCTCCATGCTCAACAACTAATCTTATTCTTTGACGTGTAGTCTCAAATAAACCTATAACCCTTATTACAATACTATCAACCAACCTGTTTATTATAACCCCACAATTATTAGCAGTCTTTACCCTGCACTAGAAATTTAAGTTATTTAGACTCTAAGCCTTCAAAGCTTACAGTAAGGGACACAACCCTTAATTTCTGACTAAAATTTGCAAGATATCCTCACATCTTCTGAACGCAAATCAGATGCTTTAAATTAAGCTAAAATTTTTATCTAGACCAGCAAGCATTATACTTACAACCTCTTAGTTAACAGCTAAGCGCTAATTTTAGCTTTGATCTATAGACCTCAACAGAACTGCTTCTATATCTTCAGATTTGCAATCTAACATGAACTTCACCATAAGGTCAGTCTTGATAGGAAGAGAAATCTAATCTCTGTAAGCGGGTCTACAGCCCACCACCTAAACACTCGGCCATCCTACCAGTGACTCACATTCGTTGATTATTCTCTACTAATCACAAAGACATCGGCACCCTATATCTAATTTTCGGGGCCTGAGCAGGAATAGTAGGAACTGCTTTAAGTATTCTAATTCGAGCTGAACTAAGTCAGCCAGGCACTTTATTAGGAGACGACCAAATTTTTAATGTTATCGTAACTGCCCATGCCTTCGTCATAATCTTTTTTATAGTTATACCAATTATAATTGGAGGCTTTGGCAACTGACTTGTACCACTAATACTTGGTGCTCCTGATATGGCCTTCCCTCGTATAAACAACATAAGTTTTTGACTACTTCCGCCCTCTTTACTTTTACTCTTAGCCTCTGCAGGAGTTGAAGCTGGGGCAGGAACAGGATGAACTGTATATCCTCCCTTAGCCGGAAACCTAGCCCACACCGGGGCCTCTGTCGACCTAACAATCTTTTCCTTACACTTAGCCGGAGTTTCATCAATTCTAGGAGCAGTTAATTTCATCACAACTATTTTTAACATGAAACCCCCAACTATGACTCAATACCAAACCCCCTTATTTGTTTGATCAGTCTTAATCACTGCAGTTCTTCTTCTTCTATCTCTACCAGTACTAGCAGCTGCTATCACAATACTTCTAACAGATCGTAACTTAAATACATCCTTCTTCGACCCTGCAGGAGGAGGAGACCCCATTCTTTACCAACACTTATTTTGATTCTTCGGACACCCTGAAGTTTATATTCTAATTCTTCCAGGCTTCGGAATTATTTCACACGTAGTTGCTTATTATGCTGGGAAAAAAGAACCATTCGGATATATAGGAATAGTTTGAGCAATAATAGCCATTGGACTACTAGGATTTATTGTTTGAGCTCATCACATATTTACAGTAGGAATAGACGTTGATACACGAGCCTATTTTACATCAGCCACAATAATTATTGCTATCCCAACAGGAGTCAAAGTCTTCAGTTGATTAGCCACTCTTCATGGAGGAAAAATCGTATGACATACCCCTATATTATGAGCCCTAGGTTTTATTTTCTTATTTACTGTAGGAGGACTCACAGGAATTGTTTTATCAAATTCATCACTAGACATTATTCTTCATGACACTTACTATGTTGTAGCCCATTTCCATTATGTTCTATCTATAGGAGCTGTTTTCGCAATTATAGCAGGATTTGTCCACTGATTCCCACTATTTACAGGATATACACTTAACGAAACCTGAGCAAAAGCTCATTTCATTATTATGTTTGCTGGTGTTAATCTTACATTCTTCCCTCAACACTTCCTAGGTCTAGCTGGAATACCACGACGTTACTCAGACTACCCAGATGCTTATACTACATGAAATATTATTTCCTCAATTGGGTCAACAGTCTCACTAATCGCTGTTATACTATTCATATTTATTTTATGAGAAGCTTTCTCTGCTAAACGTAAAGCTATTGCTACAGATCTTCTCAATACTAACCTTGAATGACTTCATGGCTGCCCACCTCCCTATCATACTTATGAAGAACCAGCCTTTGTTCAAACCAACTTCAAGAAAAGAGGGATTCGAACCCCCCTACGCTGGTTTCAAGCCAGGTGCATAACCACATCTGCCATTTTCTTAAGATACTAGTAAAATTATTACACTACCTTGTCAAGGTAATATTATGAGCTTCCTACTCATGTATCTTGCTTATGGCACAACAAGCTCAACTAGGACTTCAAGATGCAGCCTCCCCTATTATAGAAGAACTCATTCACTTCCACGACCATACCCTGACAGTTGTATTCTTAATTAGTGTATTAATTTTTTACCTCATTATTGTGATAGTTACTACCACATTTATAAATAAACACTCTCTTGACTCTCAAGAAGTAGAAATTGTATGAACAGTTATACCAGCTATTGTCCTCATTACAATTGCCCTCCCCTCCCTACGGATCCTTTACCTTACTGACGAAATTAGCAATCCACATTTAACTATTAAAGCAGTAGGCCACCAATGATATTGATCCTATGAATATACTGACTATCACCAAATAGAATTTGACTCTTACATAATCCCAACAAATGAACTTGAACCCGGTGGAATTCGTCTCTTAGACGTTGACCATCGTATTGTAGTACCAATAGAATCCCCAGTCCGAATATTAATTACATCTGAAGATGTAATCCACTCCTGAACTATTCCATCCTTAGGTACTAAAGTAGATGCAGTCCCAGGCCGACTAAACCAAGCAACATTTATTACAACCCGACCAGGTTTGTTCTTTGGTCAATGCTCAGAAATCTGTGGCGCAAATCATAGTTTTATACCAATCGCATTAGAAGCTGTCCCTCTCTCAAACTTCGAGAATTGAACTACTAAAGTACTAGCATCCTAATATATTATCACTAAGAAGCTAACTTAGCATCAGCCTTTTAAGCTGAAGATGGGCGAATACCTTCTCCCTTAGTGATATGCCACAACTCGATCCTGCCCCTTGATTCTCTATACTTACAGTATCATGACTAATTATTTTTCTCTTAATTATACCAACTATCTTATTTTATCAACCACAAAACACCATCTCTACTAAACAAGTTACTAAACCCAAACAATCCACTTGAACCTGACCATGACACTAGATATCTTTGACCAATTTACCTCCCCAACAATATTTGGGCTTCCACTAGCCTGATTAGCTATACTAGCCCCTAGCTTAATATTAGTTTCACAAACACCAAAATTTATCAAATCTCGTTATCACACACTACTTACACCCATCCTAACATCTATTGCCAAACAACTCTTTCTTCCAATAAACCAACAAGGCCATAAATGAGCCTTAATTTGTATAGCCTCTATAATATTTATCTTAATAATTAATCTTTTAGGATTATTACCATATACTTATACACCAACTACCCAATTATCAATAAACATAGGATTAGCAGTGCCACTATGACTAGCTACTGTCCTCATTGGGTTACAAAAAAAACCAACAGAAGCCCTAGCCCACTTATTACCAGAAGGTACCCCAGCAGCACTCATTCCCATATTAATTATCATTGAAACTATTAGTCTTTTTATCCGACCTATCGCCCTAGGAGTCCGACTAACCGCTAATTTAACAGCTGGTCACTTACTTATACAACTAGTTTCTATAACAACCTTTGTAATAATTCCTGTCATTTCAATTTCAATTATTACCTCACTACTTCTTCTATTACTAACAATTCTGGAGTTAGCTGTTGCTGTAATCCAGGCATATGTATTTATTCTACTTTTAACTCTTTATCTGCAAGAAAACGTTTATGTCCCACCAAGCTCATGCATACCACATGGTAGACCCAAGCCCCTGACCTCTAACCGGTGCTGGCGCCGCATTATTAATAACCTCTGGCCTAGCCATATGATTTCATAAAAACTCCTGTATCTTAATAACACTTGGTCTAATCCTTATACTTCTTACAATATATCAATGATGACGAGACATTGTTCGAGAAGGCACCTTCCTTGGCCATCACACTTCACCAGTCCAACAAGGCCTTCGCTACGGAATAATCCTATTTATTATTTCAGAAGTTTGCTTTTTCGCAGGTTTCTTCTGAGCTTTCTATCATGCCAGTCTTGCACCAACCCCAGAACTTGGCTTAACATGACCCCCAACAGGAATTAACCCTCTAAACCCATTTGAAGTTCCACTATTGAATACAGCTGTTTTACTTGCCTCAGGAGTTTCAGTAACTTGGGCCCATCACAGCATTACTGAAAAAAATCGAACAGAAACAACCCAAGCCCTAACTTTAACAGTTTTACTAGGACTTTATTTTACTGCTCTGCAAATTATAGAATACTATGAAACCCCCTTTACAATAGCAGATGGCGTATACGGTTCAACATTCTTTGTCGCCACAGGCTTTCACGGACTACATGTTATTATTGGCTCCCTATTCCTACTTACATGCTTACTACGACACTTACAATATCACTTCACCTCTAAACACCACTTCGGCTTCGAAGCCGCCGCTTGATACTGACACTTTGTAGACGTTGTTTGATTATTCCTATATATTTCAATCTACTGATGAGGCTCTTAACTCAGCCTGCCTTTTTAATACATTTAATATAGTTGGCTTCCAACCAACCAAACCTGGTATAAATCCAAGAAAAGGCACATGAACTCCTTTATAGTTATAATTATACTAACTCTAACCCTCTCATCTATTATAGCTCTTCTAGCATTTTGATTACCGATTATGAAACCAGACAGTGAAAAACTCTCTCCATACGAATGCGGCTTCGACCCACAAGGATCAGCCCGTCTACCCTTCTCTCTTCGATTCTTCTTAGTAGCAATCCTATTCTTATTGTTCGACTTAGAAATCGCCCTCCTTCTTCCATCCCCATGAGCAACTAATATTTCCAACCCAGAGTTCACCCTTCTCTGAGCTTCTTTATTTGTTTTACTTCTTACACTAGGCCTAATCTATGAATGACTACAAGGAGGACTTGACTGAGCAGAGTAATTTATTGGGGTTTAGTCTAATTAAGACAATTGATTTCGGCTCAATTAATCCTGAACTTTCAGGAACACCTACTCTCACATGCCTACGACATTAATTTTTACCTCTTTTTTCCTGGCCTTATTAGGTCTCTCCCTGCAACGAAAACACCTTCTTTCACTCCTACTAACCTTAGAAAGTATGGCCCTAGCATTATATGTTTCTACCGCACTATGAGCCTTAAACAACACATCCCTCCCAATTATAGCAGCCCCACTTATCATCTTAACCTTCTCAGCCTGTGAAGCTGGTATGGGTTTATCTCTAATAATTGCAACAGCTCGCACTCATAATACTGACCAACTAAAAGCACTAAACCTACTAAAATGTTAAAACTCATCATCCCTTCAATTATACTAATTCCAATAACCTTTTTAATTAACAAAAAAAGCTTACTATGAACTGCTACAACTTTCTTCAGCTTTTTAATCGCAGCTCTATCAACACTTACATTAAATATAGATGTAGCTGAACATAATTCAACCAATCCCCTTCTAAGCATTGACCAATTTTCATGCCCATTAATTATGCTATCTTGTTGACTTCTTCCCCTAACTATCATAGCCAGTCAAGCACATATAAAAACTGAACCAATTACACGACAAAAGACAATAATTTCTCTACTTATTCTTCTCCAAGTCCTTCTATGTATTACCTTCGGAGCCTCCAACCTACTTATATTCTATATCGCTTTCGAAACTACTTTAATCCCCACTCTTCTAATTATCACTCGTTGAGGTAACCAAAAGGAGCGACTCACAGCAGGCCTATATTTCCTATTCTACACTCTATCCGCCTCTCTCCCCCTCCTCCTTGCCCTTATCATAATTCAAACTCATTTAAACTCCTTATCAATCTATATTATTCCTCTATCTAATCTCACCCTATTATTAAACACACCTTGATCTGAAACCTTATGATGAATCGCCTGTTTCCTGGCCTTTTTAATCAAAATACCCCTATATATCTTTCACTTATGATTACCAAAAGCTCACGTAGAGGCTCCCATCGCAGGCTCTATAATTCTAGCTGCAATTCTATTAAAACTAGGAGGCTACGGTATAATTCGTATATCATCTTTATTTATTCCACTAACTAAAGATCTGGCTGTCCCATTCATAATTATCGCCATATGAGGGATAATCGTAACTAGTTCAATTTGTCTACGACAAACAGATCTAAAATCTATAATCGCTTACTCGTCTGTCAGCCATATAGGCCTAGTCGTAGCCGGCATTTTCACAATAACTCCATGAGCATGATCTGGGGCTCTTGCAATAATAATTGCCCATGGATTAGTATCATCAGGTCTATTTTGTCTCGCTAATATTACATATGAACGCACTCATACACGTTCTATCTTCATAAACCGAGGTTTAAAAACTTTATTCCCTCTAATATCATTCTGATGACTTATAATAACTTTCGCCAATATAGCACTACCACCATTCCCAAACTTCATGGCAGAAATTTTAATCATTACCTCCTTATTTAACTGATCAAACTGAACCATCTTACTACTAGGGCTAAGCATAACCTTAACTGCCCTTTTCTCATTAAATATACTTATTATAACTCAACATGAACACCCAAATAAACATGCACCAGTTAACCCAAGTACCACCCGTGAACACCTACTTATACTTATACACATAGCCCCTATTATCCTTCTCATTGCTAACCCAAGCGCTATTATAATTAGAAGCACGCATAGTTTATACAAAACATTAGATTGTGAGTCTAATAAAGAAGGTTAAAATCCCTCTGCCTGCCGAGAGGGGCAAGGCAGCACTAAGAACTGCTAATTCTTTTCCCCTGAGGTTCAACTCCACAGCCCTCTCGAGCTTCTAAAGGATAAGCAGCAATCCGCTGGCCTTAGGTGCCACCAATCTTGGTGCAAATCCAAGTAGAAGCTAATGAATTCCCACTACCTAACTTTAATTATAAACTCCGGAGCATTACTCACTATTATTGTCCTTCTCCCTCCTATTATTATACCTAAACCATCAATAATTCTCACAACAAAACTAGTAAAAATCTCAATATTTATTAGCCTTATCCCACTAACTATTTATCTAAACGAAAATATAGAAACCACCCTAACTATAAAGCCCTGAATAGACTGAGCCCTATTTAATATTGCCTTATCCTTTAAAATTGATAAATATACTGTTATCTTTACCCCTATTGCTCTAATAATTACCTGAAGCATTATAGAATTTTCACAATGATATATAGCAAAAGAACGTCATATAGACAAATTTTTTAAATATCTCCTTCTATTTTTAATCACAATAATTACATTCATCTCTGCAAATAACCTACTACAACTCTTTATTGGTTGAGAAGGTGTAGGAATCATATCCTTTCTTCTAATTAGCTGATGGTCAGGTCGAACAAAAGCTAATATCTCTGCTCTTCAAGCAGTAGCCTACAATCGAATCGGAGATATCGGGTTAATAATAATTATAGTATGAATATGTTCTAACACTAACTCTTGAGATCTACAACAAATTACAATACTTCTATCTGATCAACAGTACCTTATTCCAACCTTAGGATTCTTAATCGCAGCCACAGGTAAATCAGCCCAATTTGGTCTTCATCCATGACTTCCTGCAGCAATAGAGGGCCCAACTCCTGTTTCAGCACTATTACACTCAAGCACTATAGTTGTTGCAGGAGTATTTTTACTAATTCGACTCCACCCTTTATTCCAAAACTATCCATTAATATTAGAAATAACCCTATGTCTAGGAGCAATAACCACCATTTTTGCTGCCCTATGTGCAACAACACAAAATGATATCAAAAAAATTATTGCCTTTTCTACATCAAGTCAACTAGGCTTAATAATAGTCGCAGTTGGTCTTAACCACCCTCACATTGCCTTTCTCCACATGTGTACACATGCCTTTTTTAAAGCTATACTTTTCTTATGCTCAGGAAGTATTATTCATAATATAAATAATGAACAAGATATTCGAAAATTTAGCTGTTTAAATAACAACTTACCTCTAACAACAACCTGTATAACAATTGGGTCCGCAGCACTAATAGGCTTACCATTTCTAGCTGGTTTCTTCACTAAAGACTTAATTCTAGAAGCCCTAAATACTTCCTATACTAATGCCTGAGCCCTAATAGTTACTCTTATAGCCGTTACATTAACAACTGCCTACAGTTCACGCCTTATTATTATATCAGCCTCTGGTACACCACGATACTTACCCCTAACCCCAACACACGAAAATAATTTTATCAAGAACCCATTAAAACGTTTAGCCTGGGGCAGCCTAATTTCAGGACTAATCCTTACAAGTACCCTCCCACCAATAAAACCTCAAATTTTTACAATACCAACCTATATTAAAACTATTGCTCTAATAATATTTATCATTAGCCTAATTATTTCTATAGAACTAACCAATAAAAAAATTAACCAAACTACATTCTCCTTCTTTACTCAACTAGCATTCTACCCCCATATTATCCATCGTTTAACATCCCACCTATCTTTAATCTGAAGTCAAAAATTAATAACACAAGTAATAGACGTATCATGACTTGAAAAAATCGGACCAAAAGGTTTAGCTAATCACCAACTTAAACCCTCCACTACACTAACAGAAGCACATCACCTAAATTCTGCTACCCTACCTTTAATAGCCTTTGCCCTAACCTTAATTACACTAAGTCTCACAGCTCGTAGAGCCCCACGATTTACCCCTCGAACAACTACCAAAACAGAAAATAAACAAACTAATAAAGCCCACCCAGCTAATACAAGGATTAACCCAACCTCATAGAAAGTAGTGACTCCCAACCATTCAGCTCCAAAAATCCCCCCAGTATAATCTGCCCCTTCACAAGCTACTGACACATCTAAAAAAAAATCATTAAAAGACATATAGCCAGCAAAACAAATACACAAAACACAAATTACAAAAAATCAGATTACCCGACCTCCAAGAACTTCAGGGTAAGGGTCAGCAGCTAAAGCTGCCGAATACACAAAAACAACCATCATACCCCCTAAATATAACAGCACTAAAACTAAAGATAAAAACGTCCCACCATGGTACAATACGATAAAACACCCAGAAACAGCAACAAATACCAAGCCTAAAGCAGAGAAATAAGGAGAAGGACTCAAAACAACCACAGCTACCCCCAATAAAAACATTACAAAAAAACATAAGACTAAACTTAACATATGCTCTAAAAAAATATTACTTTTATTTTAGAACACCCCCCACCCCCACAACTTCCCCATTCCTCGCCTATGCCTATATGGCATAGGTATATCTAATGGCATAGGTATATGCCTATATGGCATAGGTATATCTAATGGCATAGGTATATGCCTATATGGCATAGGTATATCTAATAACATAGGTACCTACTCCTCCACATATCATTACAACTCATTGCATAGGCTTATCCCAGACTAAGGTACTCCTTTTATCACTCTTGGCATACAACTGCTAAGCTCGATTTCCCGAAGGGTATACAAGTATGTTTCACTGAAGACTCACATCCACCCAGGCATAGGGCATATATGATAGACCTTTCCCAGCCTCAATAATCTCTCACTCCCGCGGCTTCACGACAACCCCCTTACCCCCTTTGACCCCCTAAGTTCATTGCTGCCGTCAACCCCCTTAGGAACCGGCGAACTTTGGTCATTTTTACTTAAACTTATAAAGCTTTAATAGCTTAAATATAAAGCACTGGTCTTGTAAACCAGCGACTGAAGATGTAATTTCTTCTTAAAGCAATATTCTCATTAAGACTTTAACTTAAACCAGCGACTTGAAAAACCACCGTTGTAGAATTCAACTATAAGAACCCCAATACCTTTAATTGTAATTTTAAAATTTCTTTTTTTAATTGTAATTTTAAAATTTCTTTTTTTAATTGTAATTTTAAAATTTCTTTTTTTAATTGTAATTTTAAAATTTCTTTTTTTAATTGTAATTTTAAAATTTCTTTTTTTAATTGTAATTTTAAAATTTCTTTTTTTAATTGTAATTTTAAAATTTCTTTTTTTAATTGTAATTTTAAAACGTTTAATTATGTCCCACCAACCGTCTATTATTCGAAAAACTCACCCTCTCCTATCATTAGGTAACAGTATATTAGTAGACCTCCCTTCTCCTGCTAACATCTCGGCCTGATGAAATTTTGGCTCATTATTAAGTTTATGCTTAATTCTACAAATTATTACTGGACTTATTCTTGCTATACACTACACCGCTAATACTGAACTAGCCTTCTCTTCAGTTATACACATTTGTCGTGACGTTAATAACGGATGACTTATACGAAACCTCCATGCTAATGGCGCCTCTATATTTTTTATCTGCATCTACGCTCATATCGGACGAGGAATTTATTATGGCTCCTATTTATATAAAGAAACATGAAACGTCGGAGTTATTTTATTTGCACTAACTGCAGCTACTGCCTTCGTAGGTTATGTTCTTCCATGGGGACAAATATCCTTTTGGGGGGCAACCGTTATCACAAATTTAATTTCAGCCATACCATATGTAGGAAATGATATTGTAGTATGATTATGGGGAGGCTTCTCAGTATCAAACGCCACTTTAACCCGATTCTTTACCTTCCATTTTATCTTACCATTCATTTTAGCAGCAATAACAATAATTCACATTATATTTCTTCACCAAACAGGATCTAGTAACCCTATAGGAATTAATTCTAATTTGGATAAGATTCAATTTCACCCGTATTTTTCTTTCAAAGATATTTTAGGTTTTGTTATTCTACTGGGCATTCTTTTCATAATTTCCCTTTTAGCCCCTAATGCACTAGGTGAACCAGACAACTTTATTTATGCTAATCCTCTTAGTACCCCTCCCCATATTAAACCAGAATGATACTTTCTATTTGCCTATGCCATTCTACGCTCTGTTCCTAATAAACTTGGAGGTGTTGTAGCTTTAGCAGCAGCTATCATAATCCTCCTAATTATCCCATTTACTCACACCTCCAAACAACGCGGAATACAATTTCGCCCACTCGCCCAAATTACATTTTGAATTTTAATTGCCGATCTAGCACTACTTACATGACTAGGGGGAGAGCCCGCTGAATATCCATTTATCTTAATAACACAAATTGCATCAACAGTCTACTTCATAATTTTTATTCTAGTTTTCCCAATTTTAGGATATTTAGAAAATAAAATACTATTAATATCAAAAAATACTGGTAAATTTAATTGAAAATTAGTTTACAGACCTTCAAAGGAAGGGGATTTAAACCCCTATAACTAGCCCCCAAAGCTAGTATCTTAGTATTAAATTATCCTCTGATTTTTAAACGTCCAGAGTAGCTTAACATTAAAGCAGAGCACTGAAGCTGCTCAAATGGTTTTCTCAACCCCTTGACACAAAGGATTAGTTCCAGCCTTAATATCAACTATATATGAAATTACACATGCAAGTTTCCGCACTCCCGTGAGGACCTCCTTTAACTATAAACATAAAAAAGAGATGGTATCAGGCTCACAAAAAGTCAGCCCACAACACCTAGCCACCCACACCCTCAAGGGTACTCAGCAGTGATAAACCTTAAGCAATGGGCGCAAGCCCGACTAAGTTACATATTTTAGAGCTGGTAAACCTCGTGCCAGCCACCGCGGTTATACGAGGAGCTCAAGCTGATATCTCCGGCACAAAGCGTGATTAAAATATTTAGCTTAATTAATACTATAGAAGCCATCATGCCTGCTAGTTAAATAGGTATGCCTAAGTATCCCAACATCGAAAGAATCTATATTAATAAGCTCACTTTGATATCACGAAAGCAAAACTCACAAACCGGGATTAGATACCCCGCTATGCCTGCCATAAATAAACAACCGTCGCCAGGGCACTACGAACAATCGTTTAAAACCCAAAGAACTTGACGGCACCCTAAACCCACCTAGAGGAGCCTGTCCTATAACCCGATACCCCACGTTTTACCCAACCGCCTCTCGCCCCCAGTCTATATACCGCCGTCGCCAGCCAACCTTATAAAAGAATAACCGTAGGCAAAAAAGTCTATCTATACAAATACGTCAGGTCGAGGTGCAACCTATGAGGCAGGCAGAGATGGGCTACACTCTCTACCCAGAGTATACGAATAATTTAATGAAAAAATTTTGAAGGTGGATTTAGCAGTAAACAAGAATAGTTTGTCTAGTTGAAGTTGGCCACTAGGGTGCGTACACACCGCCCGTCACTCTCCCCCCACACCCGGAGAAAAGTCGTAACATGGTAAGCGTACCGGAAGGTGCGCTTGGAAAACAGAAGATAGCTTAAAAGTTAAGCATTTCCCTTACACCGAAAATATTCTTGTGCAATTCAAGATCTTCTGACTACTGATCTAAAGATATATTTCTAACAACTCTTAACTTCTGATTATAAAACAATTAAATACTTTACCGCAAACCATTGCCCCCATTTTAGTATAGGTGATAGAAAAAAAATTATACACATAATAGTACCGCAAGGGAATATTGAAAAAGAAGTGAAATAAATTGATTAAGTAAAACAAAGCAAAGATTAAATCTTGTACCTTTTGCATCATGGCTTAGCAAGCAAACCCGAATATACTGCCGCCACCCCGAAACTAGACGAGCTACCCTGGGATTACCTATAAGGGTTAATCCGTATCTGTGGCAAAAGATTGGAAAAAGCCCTGGGTAGAGGTGAAAAGCCTACCGAGCCTAGTGATAGCTGGTTACTTAAGAAACAAGTTTAAGCTTGATCTTAACTTGTAGATGAGCAACAAAATTACTTAGAAATTTAAACATCTTACTCCTCTACACTTTAAGTTTTATTCACTAGGGGTACAGCCCTAGTGAACAGAGATACAGCTCTATTAATTAGATAATATACCACATTTTAAACTTAAGTAGGCCTAAAAGCAGCCACCAAGAAGAAAAGCGTTACAGCTTAAGTTTACTAAATTATAAATACCAAAATATATAAAGACCCTATAAACACTATTAAGTAATCCTATAAAATAGGAGATATCCTGCTAAGATTAGTAATTTGAGGCCGCACCCCTCTAAATGTAAGTGTACACCAGATCGGACCAACCACTGGAAATTAACGGCCCTTAAAACAACAGGAAGTCAGAAACATAAACAACAACAAGAAAAACAAGAACTAATAACCGTTAACCCTACACTGGAACATAATATAGAAGATATAAAGGATAAGAAGGAACTCGGCAAACACATGCCTCGCCTGTTTACCAAAAACATCACCTCCAGATAAAAATCAAGTATTGGAGGCAAGACCTGCCCAATGATTAATATTGAATGGCCGCGGTACTTTGACCGTGTAAAAGTAGCGTAATCACTTGTCTTGTAAATTAAGACTGGAATGAAAGGTTACACGAGGGCATAACTGTCTCCTTATCCCTATCAATGAAATTGACCTACCCGTGCAAAGGCGGGTATAAACCCATAAGACGAGAAGACCCTGTGGAGCTTCCAAACATTTACATCGAATAATAATTATTTACGATGTACAGTTTTAGGTTGGGGCAACCACGGAACAAAAGTAATATCCACGACGACGAAAATACAATTTTCTAAGCCTAGAACCACAACTCTAAGCACTAGTAAAACTAACGTTAATAGACCCAGCATCACTTGCTGACTAACGAAACAAGTTACCCCAGGGATAACAGCGCAATCCTTTCCACGAGCCCGAATCAACGAAAGGGTTTACGACCTCGATGTTGGATCGGGGCACCCCAATGGCGCAAAAGCTATTAAAGGTTCGTTTGTTCAACGATTAAAGCCCCACGTGATCTGAGTTCAGACCGGAGTAATCCAGGTCAGTTTCTATCTATGTTTGCTGTTTCCCTAGTACGAAAGGACCGGTGAAACAAGGGTCTATACACTTATGCAAACCCTACATCAATCCTATGAAACCAACTCAATAAGAATAGTAAGCAACATTAAATAATAACTAGATAAGTTTATTTGGATGGCAGAGTTCAGTAATTGCACAAGGTTTAAGCCCTTATACCAGAGGTGCAAATCCTCTTCCAAATAAATCATGCTAATTATATTAACCTCAACTTTAATTTTAGTTTTAATAGTTCTACTTGCAGTAGCATTTCTAACAATAGTTGAACGAAAGACCCTAGGTTACATACAACTTTTAACAATGGGTGCCTCTGCGGATGTGTATGCTTTAACTTTTAACATAGCTATTTCTGTGACCAGTCACAAGCTAATCATTCAGCCATTTCAATGCTAAATTTTATGCTAATTCCTGTGTCAAGGCTCTTTGTTCCTCTCACACAGCTTAAAAGCCGTGATCTGAACGTGGCTCTCTCACTCCAGCGCTGTCCTACCAGACAGTCTCGCCCCCTTCACCTGATGAAGGCCGCTTGTGTTGTGGCCGAAACGTCGTGAGAATATTATTGTGTTATTTTATTTTATCATTTATTATTTTATTCTCATTCTACGTGACTTTACCGAAAGAACCAAAGAAGATGAATCATTGCAGTCACGAAAGCTTTAAATCGAAATTTAACCGCCTCTACGGGGAGGGATTCCACACATCCTTAAGATCATTCAACAGACTTCGGGATAAGAAGGCTCAACTAATCGAGTCTCTCACCTTTCTGAAGAGATGTCGCGACTCTAAGGTAATACCAACCGCATTT